ACTTGATATAAGGAAAAAGGTCACATGTATAAGGCACTTCAATAAGACATATATCTTGGTTTTTATATCTATTCCACTTTTTCTGATCATGCATCTTTTGTGATTTCAAATTTTCACTCTTCCTATGATATAGACTATTGTGATGATAGTGTTGGGGGCCCTGGAATTTAAACGCAAGATGTAATTCCTCATTATATCCATCTAAGTGTAATCCATCTAAGTGTAATCCATCTAAGAACTTAGCTCTACATGGTGGGAATTTATTACCTAATAGATCTTCAAAAATATATCGGCATTTACACTCTTGAGTGTGATAGCATAGAGAGAACTATTCAAATTTTTTTACTATAAACTTTAATGGATACTCCCACTGGTGTACACCATTCTCGCAAGACCAAAGATATACATTATGTCTATTTATTTGCTCAGTCTTTCCTAAGCATCGGCCTCCACGCTTCTTGGCGTATTTCAAAACCTGGGCTAGTTCACTTAAGTGAACAGCATGGATGAAATACACAGATAATATGCTTTGGGGTAGGTACCCAACCTTTTCTGGATCAGATATTAGCATCAACTCCTCTCTTACAAATCCTTGCTTTGAAGTATATTCTCTGTCAAGATAATAAAGCACAGGTTCATTTTTAAACACTACAATTTTTTGGACTTTATGAAGACTTGGTAACCAAAAAGGGTCGGTTATGCGCTTCTGATTCTCCATACCCCCTTCCCATTCTGCATTAGCAAGAAGATAGCGAACAGTATTGCCCTTCTTTAAAGTTTTTTTGTTCTTCCCGACAGGACACTTAGATTTTATAGATAGTCTGGACTCAACCTTCTCTAACAAAATGGCCTCTGAAAGCGCTAATCCCCATTTTGAAAAACCTGGTTCTCTAATAAGATATGTAAGATAGTTATTCAAATAATCGATAGCTTTCGGCAAATACCTAACCCATACTCTTATTAATCTCGAATCAGAAGATATAGACTCAACAGCATACTGGATTTTATATAGAATTTTCGAGAGTGTCTGATTGAAATACTCCACAATTGCAGTTCCCCGATGACTATATGGGCCAATTACTCGAATTATTACATTATGCTCTTGCATTAGTCAGGATGTCTCCTTCATAAATTCACGACCACCATCATATTGCAAAAGCTTTGGCCATGTTAATGGATTATTTTGACTTCCGTATATTCTCCTAAATGCCTTAGCAACTTCACAGGTGTTTTTTGACCTAAGTGAAGCTGAAGCTTTATATCTCAAGGCGCAGTCTACTACATTAAGTACCGCTTTATAAGTCTTACCTCTGTAATGATCATGAGACAGAAATAATATATCACATTGATGGACACAATTTGGTCGTGCTATTTGCCCATAGCTGAACCTGGGGACATGCTTAGAAGGGCATTTATAAATCTGGTATGATTCTTGTTGATTCAGCCATTCTTCTACAGCTTGAAGACTGAATTGGTACCCCTCTTTTTTACACGCATTTCTTAGGGATTTAGAGTTAGAAAAATATCCAGTAGGTTGATAATATATCTTTTGTAGAATAAGATTCTTTTCTATACTATGAGCCTCATCTGGATCTATTACAATTTGCGGTTCTCCCATTTCTTATACATTTTACTATAATAAAATTCTTTATCCAGCAAAGTTTTTCAAATTGTTGGTATATTATAAATGTCATCAGAGGATATTCTATCTAGTGAAAGAATCAAAAAAGCTCAAAATGGTTTATCGGCAATATATAATTGATTTTGTAAATTACAGCAGGATCTGGACTCAAAAGAGAATTATATTAAATATCTTGAAAAAGAAATTTTGATTCGGGATGAAGAACTAGATCCATTACGCCTGGAAATATCTAACCTTAAAAAACAGTTAGAAAAGGTGTTTCAAGATTCTAAAAGTTGAGAGAATTATATTGATTATTTAGAACAAAGGTTAGTAATTTTTCAAAATGAAATCGACTGTTTTTCTCACAAGCTCGAAAAACTATATATAGAAAATACAAAAAACTTAATTTTATCTACTGAATATAACAATAATATATCTGGCTTCGAGCAAGAATTGCGAGAAGGTGGGGATATGGCACAACAACCAGAGTCACCCATATTATCTTTACCTGAAAATCAAGCCAATATCCAGAATCATAGGATTCAATGAGAAATCCATAATATTGGATTATATTTCTGAAGCCCAACTACAATAACACCTACAATAAATGGCATCGTAGATTATCTTAATATAATTTCTAATGACAGAAATAGGCTTGAAAAATTAGTACTAGAAATATATCCACGAGCTAATGCATGTACAATCAATGCAGAAAATCGAGTAGTAGATTTGCAAACTCAGCTAACAAATTTGCAAACCCAAATAGCTGATTCACAAACCCAGATAGCTGATTCACAAACCCAGTTAGCCACGCTTCAAAATGATTATGATCTTCTTTATCAAGCTTATAGAGCCCACAAACTTAATTATCACTTATTAAAAGCAACTTGTATAGAAAAAAATAAGCGTATATTAGAGCTACTTCAAGAAAAATTTGTATCACACCTTTTAAATAGACAATTTTAGATTTAAGCCCAGCAAAACAGCTAGCAACTACAAGATTGTAAGACGGATGGGGCAATTACTATGCATCTCTTAAATCTTACAACAAATTGATATACCAAATGGAAAAATAAGTGCAAGACTATAGAAAATAAATGGAGTAAGTGGAAAAATCGGGCCCGAAATTCTGAACAATTAATTAATAATTTAAATTAATAAATTTTTGCACTACATAATAACCCACCAAATATGGCAACAGTTGCGGGAAACTTAACCAGTATTGCATCATTAATTGCAGAGATTCCAAATTATAGAGGACAAATTCCACCAGATGAATGGTATCAAAGAATTAATCAAATATTAACTTTACCATCAATTACGTTAGCTGCCTTTGATAATCCGCTTCGAGCAGATATTTTAAAAAGTAAGATGGCTAAAAAATATACAAATATACCCGCTCAATATGCTAGTAATAATATTGATACCCCAGCCTGTTTCATTGTTTGGTTGCATCATAAATATCAAACAGAAACAGTTGGTATACAACAAGTCGCTACTCAAAGATTAGTACAAGAAAAATTCTTACCATTTGATAATCCAGAATCATATAAGACTAGAATCTGTCCTCTTTTATTAGGGGTTGCTGATGGTGATGCCAATATCTTAGGATTTCTTAAGGGCCATTTATCGGGAGAGCTTTATACTTGGATAAAAATTGCTAATCCTGCTAGCATTTTTTACAGAACTTAAAAATATGTGGTTAGAACGTTCTCTGAATTTGTATAAAGGCTCCATTCCTGACCAAATCTCTTAAGCCCCACCTATTACATCCCAATCAACAACTATATTAACAAAATTGAATACTGAACCATGTTTGGACAATAGTAGTATAACAAAAACTGAAGTAGAAAACATAGTAAACTCACAATTAGATTTAAGGAGCCAACAGCCTGCCTCACAATCTGTTTCTTTACAATTTCGACCACAACCTACAGGAACATTCCAAAAAATTCTTGAAGAAAATACTGGTAAATTTTTACTATGGCTTTGCAGTCAAACTCCAAAATTTGTTCCTGTTCAAGCCCCCTCTTTACCTCCAAAACCGCAGATAAAAAATAATATTATCTCAAATAGTGATAGTGTTGATGAAATTACTAAAGGTATGGCAGATATGTCTTTGAATATAGTAAAAATGGCTAAAAGCATTAATGCTGTTGCTAAAACTGTTAAAAAATCCCATCGATATTGTTCAAATTGTGGTAGAATATGACATAATTCTCGTAGCTGTTCTCGAAAAAAAATAAAAAGAAGTATAAAAAGAAAGGCAAAATTAATAATGATCGCATAGATTATGACTCAGATACTTCTACTAATAAATCTGAATCTAATTCTAATTCTAGCTCTGAAAGTTCTTCATCTGAATCAGAGTCTGAAGCTGAAATTGATGTTAATTTATCTTGAGCAAAAAAAAAGTGAAGAAAAAACATAGCACTAGTACTTCTTTAGAGAAGAAGAAATCAAAGACTCACAAGTCTCATAAAGTAAAAGATATGGACACACCTTCTTTAGTATCAGTTCCTACTTCCAAAAAGGAAAAGCAAAGTTTAAAGCCCCTGTCACAGGATGAACAATCCCGCTTAGAAAAAATTATTAAGAAAATTATTGAGGAGGTGCTTAATGAAAAGTTTGGCACTATTACAACCCCCTCTTTTCAACCAGACACTGAAATTTCTAAAACACTAGCCGATTCTGAAGATGATGAGTTCATCAATGAACCTATGGAGATAGATTTTATCCAGAGAAAAGAACCCACCACAGATGTTGTTACAACTAAATGTAAAATCAAGCACTTGGTAATTTCCGGGGCCACAGTTGACCCTGGTGCTAACTTCGCAATTATGTCTGAGGACATTGCCAAATAATTGAAGCTAAAGATTGACACGAAAAAAAAACATGACCTTAGGGGTATTGCTACTACTCCCACAAAATCTCTTGGAATTGTTAGAAACGTTCTAGTGAATTTCGCTCCCAGGTGTACCATATATGCCGATTTTGCAGTAGTTAAGTATCCTAAGCCGATGCTTGTTTTACCTAATACATTGCTTGATAAATATAACTATGATTTACTTGCTTCAAAGCGAGAATTGAGACTAGAATGTAATGGTAAGGAATTTTTTATTCCAGTCAATATACACAAGGTCAAGAACAAGCTCAAGGTGAATTGCGCAAATATAACTCCGGATTGTGGTGATTTCTCGACTCCAGATAACATATCACAGGACTTACAGGAGTTAAGTGAGTATGACGATGTATTAAAAAAAAACACATGACCTATGAGGAGCTTGAAAAAATATTATATACTACTCTTATTTCTGAAGCTAATTTAATTGAGATTAATAAAAACCTCTGATCCCTTTTTTCATGTTAACTATTATTAGAGTACTTTTGCTGAATATAATGAGCTAAAAGATGAGTTATGAGCTAGGCATTTTTCTGATTCGCGTATAGCTTCTTCTGCTTCGATATGATTTTTTCCAATTGAAGTAATTAGATCATATGAGATGTCTAGTGAGGAATTTTGGCAGGAGCCTTTGGTTGAAATCTCAGGTAAATCAGAACTTTGAATAGGTTTGGGTTTTGATGACTTTCTTTTCTTTTTTTGCTTTTCCTGTACACGATCCAAGAGGGACCCACCCGCCTCAATGGGCTCAGAAAATGAATAGGTTCTAGATGAACTAGATAATTCACTTGTAATTGACTCGTCTAACAACTTTAAAGATCCTACATTTGGATAATTGTTTTCTTTTTCTTGGGGGTCATTTTCTGAAGGAGGGACTAATGAGATGAATTGTACTTTCCTAAGCTCCTCGAAAAAGTGGTTTCTATTTTGCTATAAACGCTCACAATTATTCTATATATCATAAACACGATCTTTATTAATATAGTACTCATTTACTATCATATACACCAGAACCTTATTTTTGAGATATCTAATTTCTCAATCTGTTCAGGTGTTAAAATGGTAGCACCTTGCAATAATAGGTTTTTAAAATCGAGATAAACATAATCTTCCGATATTTTTAAACAGTGTATTTAAATGCATAAAAAATATTAGGTATTAATATTTATCGTTTTAGATAAATAATAAAAATTAGAATTCAATATTTATTATTTTAGAATAAGAGGAGATATTAAAAAGCGTTTTAGGTGGGTAGAATACATTCTAATACGCTATCTAAAATAATAATAATAATAATCGATAACCTTCATGTTCATTTTTTATTTATTGTAATTATTCTCTAACATAAAATTTGAAAGTTTTTTTTTATATGTTTATGGCTAATGTAAATAAATAGGAACATATGATCTTGAGAAAGAGATACGTCGCATCTTATAAGACACATCCAAGATTCGAGATTATAATGCTAAGTTGCGGAATGAATACATGAAGATCAATGATGAGGCCAGACGGTTGAAGGTTGAAAATTCTAAACTTTTTTCCCAATATGCTTGCGC